TATATATATATATATATATAAAATCTCTTTTCCGATAAAAAGAAATGATACAATGGCGCAATGATCGCGCGTCACGGGAGCCTAATTTTTTGCTAAAATTATAATCACATCGCGTGATATTTTCGTTAAGAAAGATCGGCAGAAAATTGTTGTAATTATTCAATCGCAACTACAATATTTAGTAAAATGAAAAATAAATGAAAAATTGTCTCGATCGAAGCCATTATAGGGCAAAGTACAAAGTCACATAGTTGTTACTACCCCATATCATCACATTACGTACAATGACACCCACATCGTCGTTTTTCGCAGCAACGACGAAGCTCGGTACGTTAACAAATGACTCTATTAAGTTGAAACGTGGCTGAAACAGTAGCCGGCGTGGGCATTCGTATGTGCACGCATACATGTGTGAACAAGTAATCGGCCTGGCAAATTGAATCGACGCAGCGAGCGAGTCGGGATGCTGCGGAGATGACGCTGTGCATGCATATGTTGGGGTTGCCAGGTGGGACGGGAATATTACGAGGACGACGAGGGATCTCCGATAGAGGAGAATGCTCCTCTCCCAGCATGAACGAGCGAGCGATTCCACGCAGAAATCGGGAGGATGGGAAGGGAAGAGATCCTCTTGGGCGTCTTCATATAAATGCCGGCGGTGCTCGCAGTACGAGATCACATAGATTCGACCGTCAAATCGACAGCCGTATTATCGTATACAAACCGCCGGCACCGGCACGAATCGTCTTCATCATGCAGTATCTAGTGAGTGATTTATTTCGTTGAGAGCGCTGCCAATTTTCCGGATATCGATCGCCGATCCTGCCGTGTCTGTTTTTCGCGTGTTTCTTTCAACTTCTTTTTTTTATTCATCGGTGGATACACAAAGCCGTATAAATTGCGCGATTATCAATAGATATATATATATATATATATATCGATGGAAAAACTTAAAAATTCTAACGATTTTTCCGCTAAATTACGATTCATGCGTGAGTTTCGGTTTGCACAAGGTTCGCGCTTCATTAGCGAAATATAATCGATGGGATTCTCGTAGATGGCTTATATAGAACATGAGACAGTGGCATTTCAAGTAATAAACGCTTATTAAATAGCGGAATTTTGATTTTGACGGATGTCAATGAAAATATAATGCCTTGTTGCTGGTTTAAACGCACGGAATTACAAAAATATAGATTGGTTTTATCGTTTACCCGAAATTTCGTATTTCCTATAATAAAAAATACATCTCGACTGTACATTTCATATAACTCAGAAATTAAAAAATTAAATATCAAGTAAATATATTAATTTCTCCCTACATACATATTTTTTGTATACTTAAAAAATTAATTAATAAAGAGAGGAGATTATAATAAATATAAAAAAATATATTTTCGAATATTTCCTCGTATATCGATTAATTATATCAATATGGTTGCAGATCTTGGCCTTTGCAATCTTCAGCTGCGTCTTCGGACAATTTGGATCTTTCCGCGGCTTTCCCAGCCAAAATGCCTACAGAACAACGCCGAGACCCTATCGACCGCAATCGCAACCGCAACCGCAGCCGCAGTATACGTACGAAATCTGTTTAAATCGCTAAAATCTTATCTCTTTTGCGACGACTTAATCGGAAAATTATTTCTTTGAATTATACTATTAGAACACACAAGACCCGATCGCAAAATATAATATAACATATATTAAAATAATGACAAAAAAATTATATTGATACAAAAATATTTTTCAAATTAAATTGTAATGTAATTGTAATGTTATATGTTTCATTAGTCGTAGAAGGATTAATGCGGATTTGAAGTAAGGATTGTTTCAATGACAATGTTTATATAGAAATATATTTTTTTTCAAGTACCCTTAAAAACTATAAATATGTAAAAGTATTTTTTAATAAAATTATTTTTTTTTGTTACTGCTTTTCTAAGCTATTTAGCATTAAAATAAATACAAGAAAAAACACGAGACTAAAACAGCCTTTGCGTTGTATATATAAAATATAAAAGCGTTTAGTCAAGACTGCGCGAAATGATACGGTTTTGATTTTTTGCTTTTTTTAGATCTGCCGCAAAACCGTTTATAGGCATTCGTAGCCAACAAAAGGATACGTCGCCGGATGGATCTTATACTTTCAGTTATGAAACCGAGAATGGAATTTCAGTCTCCGAAAGCGGATATCCTCAAGTCGGACCTCAGGGTCAAACGGAGGTAATAATAGTTTTGCATTTCTTTTTTGCTGTATTTCATACATATTTAATATATGTATAATCTATCTATGTAAATGTAAGAAATTTAATTGCGAGAAACCACATACAAAAAAATCTTAATTCTTTCATTAGAAACTTTATTTCTAATTCTTAAATTTCTGTGATTTCTATATCACGATGTAACAGATGTTATATCCGATAGAAATTGATATTACATACATAAATAATGCAAATTTCATTCCTCCATCCTAATTTTAATCGAGTTCCATTCTTTTTTTTTTTTCTATTGCTAATCAATTAGTTTTGCCATTAATATATTAATATTTATATATTTGCTGCGATCTCATTTTTCTATTATATGTATTTGTATTGGTGAAAATTTTTATTTTTTTTTGTTCCCCATTTTATTTAATTAAAAAGTTCAAGAATATATACATTAATTAAATCCAGTTTCTTGAACACTTGTGAGAACTAATTTAATTAATTTTTTCGTGTTCTTAAAAAAATGAATCAAAACATTATTACATTAAACTTTTCGATATAATGATATAATAATCGATCTTGTTAGAATCGCGCGCGCGCGAACTATCAGAAAAAATAAAAAAAAGCTTTAATCTATCTCTTTATTTATTTTCTAATATATTTTTATCTATATATCAATTTCGACAGGTGGTCCAGGGCAGATTTTCGTATCCTGCACCTGACGGCACTCCCATCACTATCGAATATACAGCTGACGAGAATGGCTTTCACGCTCAGGGTGCCCATATTCCTACGCCGCCCCCCATCCCGGAGGCCATTAAAAGAGCACTCGCGGCGAATCCGCCCGGACCCGATGACGAAAAGTACGATCGGCAACCATTTCAGCAGAGATTCAGCGGACCGGTGTATAACGCCAATCCTTATCGAAGATTCTAATTTTGCCGCACACTGTTCGATCCGCAAAATCTCTCACGACGCACTCACGACACAGCCAAGAGAATCTGCTAGACAGCTAGACGGAGGCTCGGCTAGATATCGTGTATCTTATGTTGGCTTTGAATCATCTTCTTCCCAACCTCTAATCAATTCGAAGTGATACGTGTACATAGGATACAGTATGATGGATATAACAACAGTATCGACCCCTACAGCAATATAACTGTCGTTGTGCAATAAATCAGTATATATTGTTTCTATTTGTTTTTATATCTATTTTTTGCCTTTTCTCTTTATCACAACATCGAGAAGAATATTCATTTGATATTCGGTAACCATCTACGATTTTTCGTTTTACTGTAAATTACAGCAGACGATATTTGATAATTCGAGAAGTTATTATACATAATAATATGCGTAATAATAATATTGCACGTTCGATTATTACTCAAAGATGCCTCGTGAGAAGAGTAACATATCGTGAATGTTTATACGGAGATTTTTACGGCGAGTTGCATGCTCTATTCGTTCGATCGTACCACGTTCCCACGAAAAATGAAAGCATAGAATAATAATGGAATCATGATTCTAGCGAAAGAAAGAATGCTTAATGTCAAGCGCCACCCATGTTGAGATTGTGACATATTACGTAATGTACATTTTTGTTCGGCGTCAAAGTCGCCGGGCTTCAAAATTTATTAAAACGCGATCGAGAGAATTTAAAGAGACAATTTCAAAGTCGCTTTTCAAGTCTGCTTGACTTGACACAGTGACAGCGAGAAAATGCCAGTTTTACAGGCACGTCATGCTGTTGCGTGATTTTATACGAGAAAAGGTATACTTATTCTTCCTTATGCCGCCTCGTCTATAATTTACCACAGAATCTGGGATTTAATTAACTGATTAATAATTAGTTGTGGCGCGCGATTATACTCTGCAAGAGAAGCTACCGCTTTGTTTACCATCACGCGCAAAGAGAATACAACGACGTATGTCAATAAACGTGAAAATATTTCGTTATTATATAAAAAGATTACTTTATCCCGAATGCTCTTGCAAAATCGCGGTAAAGTTTATCGTAATTATAAATGCAGTTATACAAGAACTAGTAACAGGTGAACAATCGTAAGATATATTCGTAGTTTCTACTTTGCGAGTTAGAATAATACGCAGAGCATAAATTTGCGATTATCTTTACGAACCTGAAAGAAGACGGCATGTGAAGTTCAACTTCGCAACGGCTGCTGAAAATCCGCAGCGGAATCAATTAGTCTTTCACATCGCACAGTCTTCATTGATTGTCCTCGCTTTTCAGATTTAAATTTACAACTCATTGTCAGAAATATGTAAAAACTCGAGCAGAAAACAATAATATAATTGATTTATATCTAAAAATATTGATGTTTTGTATCATATATATTTATATTTTACATTATATATTTATACGTAATAATGTACATTAGGAGATATAAAAGACTGGAAATGAAAAATTTATATATAATAAATGTCATAAAAATTTTGTCGTTATCAATTACTTGTCGCGGGAAAAAATCGCGCGCTAATTTATCATACTTCAGTGAAAAATCCTATTAAAAGCCAAAATCAATCAAAAACGTAAAATAAGACTCGATAATGAGGATACGCATACCCTGACCTCTCCAATATGCAACGCGAGAGAATAAGAGAGCGCGCACGATTGAAGTTCGCATGCACCATGCCTGCAGCGAATGTTTCAAAGTTGCATTTATACGATATACGAGCAAGAGCGAACGAATGAATTTATTGCACTAAAAAAATTAGCATAATGCTTAGATAAAAGATTTATCTCTTTTCTCTTTATTATACATTATTAATTCAGAGAGTATTAAACATTTTCTTATATTACATTATATATATTTTATTGTTTCAATAATTTAACTCTTTTTATTTCTTAAAAACATTTTAAAAATCTTGATTTGATTTTTCAAGCACTGATGAAAAAGAAATTAGTTTTCAGTAAGGTGTATCACGACTAAAAATGTGAAAACGCATTTTGAATGAATCATAGCGAACAAACAGGGTGGGACGGGTATAGGTGAAAGTGTTGTATGTACGCACATCTCGGCCTCTCTTTCGTTACTTTGCATTCTTGCACGCATCATCCCGGTCAAGGACTGATCGCCCGTCATATGCACCGCAACTTGGGCGGTCCTACACTTCCCTCAAAAGGTTTGATTGAACCGATCATGAGAAAAGAAAGAGGGAAAAGTAAGAAGCGAGAAGACATCTTCGGTTTTGTCGAACACACACACGACAAAGTGTACATTCATCGTGTCAACAATTAACCCTAATTCTCCTTAATGTCAAATTGTTGAGATATTAATAAATAGACATTAGTAATAAAAATCATTATAAATCACATTTAGTATTAATAACAATATCGATATTAATTTCGATCATATAAATTATTAAAATTTATTTTTCTTATTTACAAGCAATTACTAACTAAAATTTTCTATTTATATTTTGTTAATATAAAAATAGTAGCAGGAATTGTATATTCTTTTATTAGGAATTATATATTTTATCATGACATGTAAAAATAATATCTATCAATATTAAATGGTAATAAATTTTTTGACTGGATCTTGCAGAAAAAGCGACTGAGACTTTAATATCACAGTGGCCTTACTTAGAGGCGGCCAAACTAGAGTAATTACTTTAAACATAATGAATTAAAATGGCCTTTGAACTTATCGAAAAAAATACAAAATTATGTTATATATTAATTATATTTCATTATTTCGTTGTAAAAAAAAAGTTTTATCCGTATCACACATGTCACATTGCTGCAATAAACTGATCTTTGGATTAAGATTTTCTTTACAGACTTTATCTAATGTGGAGTGCCACTAATAATTCAAACATAATATATATACAGGATGTTAAAAAAAAGTCACATATTTTAACAACAGTTAGCCAGTATCTTCGAAAATATTAATTGTAGGACACATGTTTGTACTAAACTTTTTTCTTGTTTTGATCAATATTACCTGCTATCAAAATATGTGACTCTTTGCAAATCGTTGCATGGACTATTTTCACGCTTTATCCGAATAGAATGTCCACCTGGAGATCTGTGAAACATCGATATAATATAATTTTACTTTATTTGGTAAATGTTAAAACTCCTAGCCTCTAACAGCTGTATTGAGTTTAACATTAGAAATTAGAAATCAAGTAAATTTTTCCTTAGCATTATATGTTAAAATTATTTTCTCATGTAAATTCATGTTCATAAATAGTTCACATTCAATTTATAAATAAGATAAAAAATTTTATTATTATATATTTATTATTAATAATAAACATATTCAATCTATGCACCTTAAGTTTTTTAAAACATTTTTATGATATTTAATCAAGATTTATAGCCATTTATTAATTTATGAATCAAAAGATCTTTAAATATTGACAGGTACATAAGTTTATTCTATCTAATAAGTTATAATATATCAATAAAACTAATTTATTTCGAATTTTTCGTATAATGCAAGGAGAAAATTTACATTTCTTATTTTCGATATCATAAAGCAATGCTGCATTGAAAAATCTTAAGTTGTCAAACATCTAAACTACCTCGCAATTGGTCTCAATTTTATATTGTCGATATCTTTAAGTATATCGTCTGTCGATTTCTGTACACTCAGTGGACTTTTCTTGCGCTCTTCAATTTTATGATCTTGCAAACTAGCTCTTCTCGCGATATGTGGTGTTGTGGGTGGCGGAAGAGGAGGTGGAGGTGGTGGTGGTATTGGCAAAGATTTTTCCTTGTCCGCTCCATTGGGCAAAGATGTAACAGATGCATCTGTAAGACATATAAATTTCTAAACTTTTATAAATCTTTTTGGTTACTTTGAATATAACAAAATACATATATTTGTACGTACACTTAGATAGTTTATTATTTTTCACAATTGTAGAGATTTGTTCTTTAAGTTCTTGCAACTCTTGTTCCAACGCAAGTAATCTTACTTCGGATCCAAAACTAATTGGCTCCAATAGATCTGGTCTGCTACCGGAAAGCCTATCATTAAATTGCAGAATGATAATAATATTGCATATGATAATATTGCAATAAACATATACACACGCAAAAACATATACACTCATATAGATCTTGATTAGATCCTGCCATGTCCGTGTAGTTTGTAGTTGATCCTAAGTACAAAGCGAAAAATGGAAACTCTCAAGGACTACATTATCTTATTTTTTTTATAAATATTTTTAAAAATACTTGTCAAATACAAACTTTTTTGTCAAAATTATAGATATTAAAGCACAAAATAAGAAAATATCTGGATTAATCAGTCAGAACATTGGATATAAATATAACACCATCATACTTAACATCTTTAGATTTTTATTTGTGTAACAAATTTAAATAAATATATAGCGAGGTACTAATGAGAGATCAAAGAAGAAGAGATTAAAAAGAAATATATATATAATGTTATCATAAAAAAATGTTAATGCTTATATATATAATGTGTAAATATTAGCCTTAATTATAATAAAACTACTAAAAGTTTTACATAAAGAATCAAAAAGCAGCAAATCTATTGGCATATTAAAAAATATCATTTCTGGAAATTTTGCCACAGAAGAAAAATGCTTATTTTTGCAGAAGAAATACATAATATTAATAGTACTCTATCAATATAGAATATCCTATGTATATGTATATATTTATTTATATAATTATATGCATATATCATGCATATTTGCATATATTTTATGTATTTATGATACATAACATATATACATATATGCAATTGTGTGTTTGCAAGTATACAGATTTAATCATAATTTGACAGAACAGAATGCTGACCTCATAGAACCATGTCCATTTGTATCGACATAAGTGTTACTAGTTTCCTCATTAATCATTGAACTTGTCATCGAATGTAATGGTGTTACACTGACATATATTTTTGGTGGTGGCTTTAGTGGTAAAAAGGAACCTATTCTCCTTACAATACTTCTTCTTTTTCCATATATAAGCTCACCCATCTGTGAAAAGAATAATTTAATTTTCATAATTTTGATATAATGTGAGTAATCTTACATATTAAAATCAAATATGAAAGAAATAAGAAAGATTAAAAGCAAATGAGCAGTTAATGTTTAGAATGACAAATTTGCCAAATTTTGCCATATATATATATATATATAGAAACAATTATTTAGCAATTATTTATTAATTATATAGGACAATTATGCACATACAAAAGTAAAAAATATTTATTTACAAAATTGAATTGCTTTACTATATCAACTTTATGATATCAATTAACAAAATATACAAAATGATATAATGACATAGTTTAATCTATTTTGTACACATTTATATTCTGTCAGTATATTATTATAAAATATTTTTAAAATCTGTTTT